CTCACTTTAGTTTGCTGCTGTATGTGAAAGGCAGCAAAATACAAATGGAGAAAAGAAGTTAGAAGTTTCATTAGAGAAGTGCACTTGCTATTCTAGAAGGTTGGTTTACTTAGTTATAGATGAAAACACAACAGAAAATTAGACTGTAGCGTAAACGACAGAAGGGTTAAATGCGACAACACTAATGAGGTTTGAGCATGTGCCACTTTTGTTGGAGGAGCAGGGTATAAAGGTAAACATGTAGGACACATAGAATAATTGACAGTAAAAGATTTGATGTGTGGTTTTTTGCTTTCATTATATTTATTATTTTGTAGAGACATTTGTGAATGTTTATTTCTTTGTTTTATTATATTTATGTATAAAACAGGTTGACTATGTTTTTTTAAAATAAATAAGCAAAAAAAAAAAGCCTGTATGAATGCCTCTGTCATCTTTTGAAAAGGAAGTTGACTGTGAACATTGGTGTGGTCTTTTGTTTTTTAAATACAACTCTTCAGGTCAGACAGTGTGAAGCAGGCTGTATCTATGTTTCTAACTTAATGCAGACTGAAAAAATCAGAAATTTGAAATAAGGTAATGCATCCTAAGAACTTAAAAATGAATTAAGATATTAATTATGTTGCTACAAGAAAACAAACTGGATGGGGGAAGAGCTTCATTTAAGGATAAGTTGTATTCCAAAAGATATTTTTTACATATAGTTGTTGAGTCATTTTTATTAATTTCATTCTTTGACACACATACACACATATTTGGTAATTTACTGGGATTCTTTCTTACTGGCAAGTCATTTAGTTCCTTAGAACTATGAGATAACAGGATACACTTTAAAATTTCTTTAATGGCTAAGATTTTTTAAAACTCCTGTGCTGGTAGATTTTTAATCAGTGAGGACTACAGGAATTTTCATCTTTGTTTCTTGCTAATTTCATTATGTAGTGGTCAAAGCTCAAAAGTTTAACTAGTGAAATGTTTCTGAAATACTTAGTGCCACATTTCCTGCTTTGTTCTCATCAAGCATGGGGATTTGGACACAATTAATACACAAATATCAAACCATTTAACAGGCTAGTATTTCTCTTTTACCTTTTAAATGGAAATTATAGACTTGCAATATGCTCCAGATAAACACGTGAAATTTTATAAATGTAAAACTACAGTGAAGTGTGAGGAGATGCACTACTTAAAGCAATTATGATTGAACACAAGAATCATAGAAAGTGTAGATTAAACTGAGAAAATATTTTAAAACCTTAAAGATAGAAATGTTGAGTTTATTGCTTTTACAATTTAGTTACAATTCTTAAATAGACAAACTTTATACAATGCAAAATTGTATTTATTTTTTCCATATACAGGAAATGGGCATGCAGATTCATAAGCATTCTGCTTGGAAAGAAACACCAAAATTATTAATGCTGTACCACATTTARTTTACATTGAGGGCAATGTTAGCTGACGAATTTATAGGAAGAAACTTATAGTACGTGCTTTTGTTGTAGTAATATTGCTTACCACCTGTGTATCAAGTGCAAGATTTTACATAGATAAGTGCCACTGCTTGTCAATTATGTCATATTTTAAGGGTCATCTCCATAACAGCATATTATTTTGTAAGAATTAAGGAGAAATATTACATTTCCTGTTAAATCTATAAATTCTTCTGGAATGAATTTATAGCCCTCTTCTACCCTTCCAGCCAAAGGTCATTCCAAATGCTATATGTGGAATTTGTCTGAAGGGTAAGGAGTCCAACAAGAAAGGAAAAGCTGAAGCACTTATACATTGCTCCCAGTGTGACAACAGCGGTAAGTATCTGTATACACTAACTGGATTCCTAAGGGGTTTTATTTGCCACGTCTTTCTGTGGAAATATTTAGTGTACTAAACATGTACTAACAGTTCAGTTGCCTTTTCTGTCCTTCTGCAAAACATCATCTCTATTTAATATGTATTAGCATGTTCAATGCCCTAAGACATCTTACCAGAAGGTGAGCTAAACTGCAGCCTCTGCAAAAGCAACCAGACTAACTAATTTTCAATTTCATTTCAGACATAACAGTAATAATATTGATTTTAATCTAGGCCACCCTTCTTGCCTTGATATGACCCCGGAGCTTGTTGCTATGATTAAGACTTACCCTTGGCAGTGTATGGAGTGTAAAACTTGCATTATCTGTGGGCAGCCTCACCATGAAGAAGAAATGATGTTCTGTGATGTATGTGACCGTGGTTATCACACATTTTGTGTGGGGCTTGACGCAATCCCTTCAGGTAATAAAACAAGAGTTACTTGTTTCCACCTGCTCTGGGTCCTGGGGGTTTCTCTGTCAGGATTAATATATGCATTGCTCATGAAAGATCAGTTTAAAATAGTATGAAAGGTACAGAATAAGCATATCCACACTGCAAGACCTGAATTTAATAAGATTTATTTCTGTGTATTTGGTTGGTTACAGTTTAACCTGGTGATTCCTACAGATTAGGAAATATAATTGTCTTTTACAACAGAATCAAAGCAGACTTTGCCCAGAAGTAGATTTTTTGTTGTTATTTCCAAAGAACACAGARAATAACTACTCCTCTTCATAAAACAAACCTGTAAAAGAGGCTGCATTGCTGCATATTGCTGAGTATAGCTTTCACACTAAAATGTTTGTGCTGTTATTTCAGATTCTATGTTAGAGAAGTATGCTCAATTTAATAACTGTAAACACCCTTCTAAACTCCCTCCTTCCCTCCAACCTTAATCCAACCAACAAAAACACAAAAGCTGGAAGTTCAGTACCTACAGGTCAGGCAGCCTGTACTTTTAGGTTCCTTGGCCACTCATATCACCATAGCAGTGTAAGGAAAGCTCCAAAGACCTAAATTACTGGTAGTATTCTCAGTCCTTGTGTAATACTAAATCCAGTTATACAGTAAGTTCATGAATACATACGTGCTCAGTGGCTGTAAGTTCAGTGATGACAGTATTCCCTGCAACTACTATATTTTCCATATGAACAAATCTCTGTTGTATATTCCCACTTTAGGAAGCACCCAAAACAGCTGTCATGTCACTACATGTTCTGTGGCTGCTTTAATTTTCAGGCTGTCCTAAGGTCAGAATCTAGAAGCAGTAGATTATGTTCCTACAAAACGATAAAGTTATCACATCAACTTTGATTCCGGCTGTGGTAATATAAATAAATAATGCTCCTGCACTTTTCTCTACCCATTATTGTTCCCTCAAATAAGTTTTAGTACAAGGTCTGGTGACAAACCCTGCCAGCCATTTAATCTATGTTGTCTGACTGCACTGAAGTACTGGACACTGATTTGGGGAGTGGAGCCTAGTACTGAGTGGCAGAACAGCAGCATTCTCCCCCTGCCATTCATTTCTGTTCCAACTAACTGTCCACGACTTTAAATTGTGGTCATTTGTATGAAAACTTAATTTGCAAACTCAAACACAAAATGTTGAGTTTTCTTTCTGATAAGCACCTCCGCAGCAGTACTAGCTTTTACTTCTTGTGGTTAATAAACACCAGTAGCCAATTGTTACATGTCATGAGTCTGCACCAARGGTGAATTCTGTATGCTACTTTCTATACCTTTTAGAAAATATGTTTACATTCTGAAGAAAAACACTGGTTATTTACATTTAAGGAGCTGCTGCAAATAGATGAGCACCTTTTAAGTTGGTGGAAGGTGCATAATTAGAGGAGTGAGTATCAAAGGTAGTTTCCCAATAATTACTAACTTTCTTTTCTTAGGTCGCTGGATTTGTGATTGTTGTCAGAAAGACCCTCCCGTACCCAGAAGAGGAGGAAGAAGGGGAAAAAACAGCAAGGAGGGATAAAAAGAGAGAAAAGGCAAAACAAACAACCTCACCCTAGTCTTGTCCAAAATTTAACTGCACAAATTTAAGTGATAATTTGGTGCTATTTAACCAACCACTCTGAGAGGAACAATACCACTTTTTTTTTTCTTTTTACCAAATAAACTTTTAATTTTGGCTATATAATAATTTTTGGGTGATAAAATTCCCTAACTGTTCTACCAGATCTCTAGATAGAAAAGCCAAATTCCCRTTCAAAAAGAGAATGCTTTCAATTATGAAATTTAAATTGTACATGCAATGTTTATATAAAACTATATACTATACTTGTTCATTTCAGTGCACCTATCAGTAAACTCTGTGGGGGGAAAAAAAAAWAGTAGTTACAGAGCAATTTAAATGTACACTGTTTGCATAGCAGTTGGTTGCTTTTTAAGACCAAACCAAAACTACTGGAAAGACTACCTTTAAAGGGACATGAGAGCACGACTTTCTTGAAGTGTGCTGTACATTCCTTTCAGTGAAAGTTTTGTCTGTAACTTAAGACACCTTTATGACATATTCATAAAGATGTGTACTGAAAGAGACTGTAAAGGTGTCTACCCAAAAAAAAAAAAAAAAAAAAAAAAAAAAGAACCTGGAGAATTATGAAGGGAGGTGTAAGAAAAACACCTCCTGAGCTCTGGATACTATATGCTGCATTGCTTTTAGCAAGGAACATCCTGTTGACAGCTAAGAGCAGCTGCGGGCTCATTCTCTGTGTAACAAGAATGAAAAAGCAGCATGCAGTTGAGTCGTGTCGTGGGTTTGCAGAGGTAATGAGTGAGTGGACTGACCTCCACTTACAGATGGAGGACTTAAATGACGTAGAGTACAAACAGCAAAAATTCAGATCACATATTGCCTTAGGTGGTTATTTGGTTTTAGCTTCCTGCACTCTAGGCTTCTTGATTTGACTTCAAAACCATTGCTGATCAGTCTACTGAAGATGTTTGTTCAGAGAAGCAGTAAATCTTATTTTTAAATATGCTTTAAACTGAGAGGGGCACTGAAGTGCAGCATTTCCTATTTCATCTTTTTATAAAAATTGTTAGAAAATACTGAATTAAGAGTTGATTTTTGTTTTCCTAAGCACCTGTTTAAAGTTAATTTAGTAAGAATCCCATCTGTACATTCATTTTAAGCCCTAAAAATACTGTGCTTGCTGCTCATTTTATGTATAGGGGAGGATATAAAATTAAGTATGGCTTTTCCCCCCCCTTCCCTTCTGGGTATAGAAAAAGAAACCTGAATACCTCTTCAGGAAACTTCACAGAGAGTGCTAAGTATTATAGCAAGTCATTCATATTCATTTCACGGGCTGACATGTTATTTAGTCCAGTGTGCATCAATTTAAAAAAGTATTTCAAGTATCAGTTTCAATATTCCAAAAAGAATAGTCCAGAAAACAGACTCCTCATCCTGAGATTCATCCTCTGCTGAGTATTTCTGGTTTGCCTCCATTTCTTCAGGGTTGTAGGAAGCCTCACCAAACGGGTACTGTACAACAGTTCGATCGTAATACACCTTCATTTCAAACTCGCTCTCCAGGTGAGAGGGATGACCGTAAATCCCTATTCCCACGGGGCGGCGGAAGTGTGCTGGTACATGAACAACATCTTGCCCACAAGTTACAGACTGTAGCTCATACTCATCAAAGCTGGGGTGAAGAGTTATGTCAGATACATACAAGTCTGCATCACCTTTCAAACTCCGCATCTGCAGTACTATCTTCCCCTCGTGATTTAGTCTCAAATAGCTGTAGTTTCCAGCTCCAATCTGCCCTTGAACAACRTGAAGAAGAATCCACTCTTGGGGCACATCCTCTTCCTCAAAGGTGTTTACCACAAACAGTGCTTGAGCTGCCACAAACATGATCAGGATTGTCCTCCAGTATGCTGCCATGGCTTCTGAGTTTGACCCAGGCTCTTCCTATGTCACATGCACTAGCCTGCTACTATGGAAGGTCATCCAGGTTTTAGTAAATTCTGTTCTTGGAGGATTTAGAGCGGTTCTTTTTAAAAATGGCAATTGTTAAACATGCCCTCCAGTCCATACAAAGTGAATCAGAAATGAACCAAGCGGTGGCTCTTGCAGAACTGACACTGAAGCCTTAGTCTAATCCTATCTGTAGATGGGACAGTGTGAAATACATCGTGTCAGTTGCTCAGCGTGTCCTCTTTTTTCACACCCATCCTCTCACAGATGGTGAAGGTGCCAATCTGGATTCTTGCACGAAGCAGCACACATCCCAATTTCTTCCACTGGAAAAGCAGTTAAAAACAGTCTGGTGAGGTGATATAATATCGATACAGTAGACACGGTTCTTCTCTGTCTCTATGCCAAAACAGCATATTTTCACAAAGTGAAATACCCTAAATACCACAAAGTGAAAATCCCCTAAAGGAGCTCAGACCTTCACAGCACGTGCAGTGTCCGTTGCTGCAACGCGTTACAATGTGGTGCACAGCAGGGAGCAGGGCCTGCCCCGGGGCCAGGGCCGCCCTGGCTGCGCCCCAAGGCGGCGAGGCCCCGGGCCTGACCGCGGGCAGCTCTGCGCCGTTTGACCTGCAGCAGCCGCGAGCACCCGCACCCGACGCTTCGGCCTCTTTCCTTACGGGAGGCTGCGCGGCGGCTTCTCGGGCACGGGAGCTGCGAGCGCGCTGCTCCGCCGGCCGCGCGGCTCCCGCACGAGGCGCCGTCCCCGGCCGCGCGGTTCACACGGACACGCRCGCAGCGGGAAACGCAAACGGTTCTGCGCTTCCGGACTGCGCGGCTCCGCGGCGCCAGGCCGCGATTCGGCAGGGGCAGCAGGGAGGGCGCGGGCCCGGCGCGCCAACAACCGCCCGGCCGGGCAGAGCCGCCGCGCGGGGGCCGGAGCACAGAACCCACGGGCAGCCCGCTCTGCGGCACGCCGCGACACGGAGCCCACGCGCAGCTGCGCACGAGCGGCCTTCCCCGCCGCGCGCAACGCGCCCCCGCCGGGCCGGGCCGG